GTTTTTTTTATGTCATCTGCACTCTCTCCTGTTTCTTCATTGACTCCAATCAGTCTTATGTTATTCTTCTTTGCATTGTCTAGCAGTTGCTGGATTGATATCTCATGGTCCCTTACTATTTTAAAGAACTTTTTCTTTTCCTGGTCACTAATTGCAATCTTATCTTCTATATGTGAAATTCTGTCCTCACATTGGTTCATTCTGCTGCGTAAGGTTTCAGTGAAGTTTTTAATCTCCTGGAAATCTTTTTGCATCTGTTTTATGGATTCCCTTTGTTTCCTATGTTGGGATTCCATCATGTTCCTCAGCTCCTCTATTTTTTTATCTGTGTCCTCTCTAGATTTATGAATCATGTCTTGCGCTATGGGCACAATCTCTGTTGTTATCTGAGAAATTATTTCTCATTTCATTTTTTCCAGATCCTCTGTCATTTCCAGGTGAGGGAGTCCACATGGTTGAGTATTAGGGTGTTCCATCTCATTTCCCATTGGGGTTGCTTTAGGTGATCTGGAAGTCTGGTTTTGAAACTTGTTTACTCATTTCAAGGGGTGAGGGGATGTGTGCTGCTGGCGCCTGCACAGCTCACTTCCTCAGCCCTGGGGGTGGTGGTACAGCAGTCCATAAGGTTCACCTCCTCTGTGCTGGGGCAGCTCTGTTCCTTGGCACTGGGGCAAAATCGCTTCCTATTAAATATCTCTTACTGAAGCTCCTTCATACACACAATAAAATCCTATCTCCACACACACACACACACACACACACACAAACACACACATACATGGTTTTTGTAGAACCCTGTGCTCCTTTGCTGGCCTCACTTCCTCCTGCTCACTATGTCTTAGACAACCGTCTAGTAAATCAACCCCCCTGTCCTTCTCATTCACAGATCACGCTATTGCCCCCAGCCCTCTCTTGGCTAAATCCCCTCTCTACAGGTCAGTCTCTCCTCATCTCAATCCCATGACTCCTCCTCACATCTAAGGCAGACAGGTCCCCTTCTTTTATATTCCCATAATATACTCTATTTACTCTCTGTTTGTTCTCTCCAGAAATAGAGCATGGATTTCTTAAGGACGAAGACCACCCTAGGCATTATGACTCCAGTTAATACCTACCACACAGATGTTTAATAAGTTTGTACTTAATGAAGAAATGAATAAAGGATGAAAGCGCTCTTACTCATTCTGATCATTCCTTTGTTCAGAAGTGTCACTGCATGGCAGAGGCAGTAGCATTTATCACATATTCCATGAACCCTCTCTACATTTTCCAGCTCTCCTTGCACTTAGTTTGGCTATTTGCATAAACAACACATGTCACTCCCAGCACAATATCCTTATGAGTAGTAGTGAGTTCTCCACATCCTGTCTTCCCCTGCTTTGGCTCTTCTGGAAGTCTAGATAAGATGATACCACAAGATTGTGAGGAAGAAACCATGGCAGACGTGTCCTGGGAGTGGGAAGTAAGCCTGTCATGTTAACCACTGGAAATCTCAGGATGTATTTGTTTCCACAGCATATCTACCCCTGCATGATGCTTGTTATTTCAAGCTTTTACATCAGTCTCTGTCCTATCATATACACATAAGGTTTTGTTACACTTTATCCAGCATGCAACTCTTTCTCTTCTGCTTAAATCTGCAGCACACCTAGGCCTAGGGAAAACTGCACCATGGAACCAGTATTTTCCACCTGGCCTGCCTGTGGCTCCCTGCCAGGGAGCCTGTGTATAGCAGACTGTGCTTCCTAAATGTAGCTTGCACTTTCCCTCTTTGCCCAGCTAACATATAAGTGAAGTGGTTCATTCCCTGCTCCTTGTAAGTGACACTGGGGATATTTCCTACACAAAGTCCCCTGTACTTACATCTGGCTCTGCTTCCACAGCAGAATGCCACATCTCTAACTTTAGATTTTAATCGTGGTTGTAAAGGGAATTTCTCCTGGGAATTGTGCTATACTCCATTCCAGACCCAAGCTCAAGGAATCAGAAACTCTCTGCAAAGTAGACCTCTGAGGCCCTCTTAGTGAGTCAAGACTGTGCGTGCAACTTCACTGACCTACAATTTACAATATTCTCTGTTTGAGTTTGATAAAATTCTGTTCCTTTCTACGAGTATTTTATAAAATACATTGGCTTTCCTCATTACGTTACAAATTCTATCAAACTGTGTTTGTATTGTATTATTAAGTAAAATTCTTTCAGAAAATGGAACAGAAAATCTAATCTCAAGTATGACTTCATTCCAGGATGATATGGTGTCACCAGGATCTACCTTTTAGCTCTAGTTTCTTTGAAAGACCACCTCCTCAGACAGGCTTTCCCTTGTCCTCAGCCCTGAGGTACCCTCAGATGCATTGCTTTCAGTTTTGAATCAGGTAGGAAAGAGCAAGTCTTTCCCTTGAATCCTAGTCAGATTCACTTTGCTTTGTATATGTTCTAAATGGGTCATGTTCCCATCTGGGAACTAAGTCCTGTGACCAGGCAAATACAATACAGTCACTAGTTCAGACCTCAGCCACTTCCACAGAGTTGCAAAGAAGACTGTATTTAAAGGAAGCACATAGAAGAATGAGGAAGGGAACAGTTTCTGGAGAGAAATTCAGGAGAGGCCACTGTTAGGAGGAAAATGGTGCTAGGAGCAATGGTAACCTGGCGAAATCTGCATAGTCTGATGCCCGGGTGGAAGGATTTAGATACAGCTTCCGCTTAGGGAATGAGTGTCTCAGCACACACATACGCTACCCTGTCTGTTCCTCTCTGCTCTTCTGGGTCACTCTGTCCTCCTCTGTGCTGTGGGACTGGAGGACATAGCATTACAGGACACTTCCCTGGCCTCCTGCTTCTTCATGAGGAAGAAACTTAGCAATTAATTACAGTATAATTAATGATACCAAGGGTAATTGAAAAGCATAAAGGGAATAAATGAAGGTGTCTGTATAATGGATCTAAATTTGAATTATTATCGTTCTGATTGATTCTGTTTGTTTGTTTGTTTTTGGTACCGGGTATCGAACTTGGGACCTTGTGCTTGCTAGGCAGGCGCGAGAACCACTGAGCTAAATCCCCGGCCCTTGTTCTGATTGATTCTGAATAATCCTAGATTGGCCACCTCAGGGACTGCCAGTTTTGTTGGAGGTCTGTTAGCCTTGTCATTTCTAAGAACACTAACACTGGATTCCTAAATAAAAGCTCAAGATCCAAGAAAAGATACCTAGAATTTGTGATAAGAAAAGGCTAATGTGATTTTCTTTTCTTCTCTCCTTTCTGTCTCTCCCTCTCAGCCCGAAGTTCTGGATCAAATACAAAATTTAAGGGAGTTGTGGATGGATAATAATGCATTGCAAGTGCTACCTGGGGTATGTAGGTTTTATATGCTTGTCGTCCAATATTCATGTTGCAAACTGTATTGAATAATAACCAATCCTAAATCTTAAGTCTCGTTGTTTGCATTTCAAAGTAAAGTAACACTTGTTAGGAATGTTTGGTCGCCAAATAGTTTTCAGTAATTTGTTTTACAAGGTTTTATATGTCTTTTGTGGAGTGTTAATGGTATACAAAATGTATGAAAGACTTTTCTTATTCTCTCATGAATATGTTTGTCATCTTTTTTTCATGGTCATTATTTGGTAAATGTTGGAAAATTCAGTTATATTTTTAAAAGAGAAATCCAATATATAGTAGCAAATTTTATTTTACAAAATCAGAGATATTCTTTTAGGTAACTGCATAACAGTTTCTGTGCACATTGTTAGAGGTCTTCCCGAAAATGAAAATCTCTTTCTCAGTTTAAGCAGTGTCCTACTTGACCTACTTAAATGTTTGGAAATAGTAAGAATTATAGAGCATTAGAAATAAAAGCTGTAACACAAAGGTGGTGGTGAACACCTGTAATCCCAGCACTTGGAATGCTGATGTAGGAAGACTTCAAGGTTGAGTCCCGCCTGTCCCGAAATAAAAAAGGGATGAGAATACAGTTCAGTGCAGAGGTCCTGGGTTCAATCCCCAGTACTGTAAAACACACACACACACACACACACACACACACACACACTCACAGTCAAATACACATCTCCCACTCATCCATCCCCAAACTCGAGGCTTTTCACAGAGAAGCCAAGCAGGTGCATGTGTGGTCATTCTTCCACCAACACAGGGGTTTGGATGTCTTCCCAAAGCCAATTTTCTCTCTTTTGAGTTGATGTAAAACATTTCTTCAAATGATTTCAATGACAACCAGTACAAAAAGATTATTCCCTCTTTGAACAAGTGTGAGACCACAGAAAGGAGATTAGGGAAAAAAAATACTTTCTTCTCTTATCAGACGAATACGTTTCTGTTATCACAGATCTGAAACAGAAAAGTTGCACATCCTTAATTTATTGATTTATCCAAAATTTGTTTACTCTTCGCCTTTTATGAATCAGACACTGCATCAGTGGCAGAGTTACAAAGATAATATATTCAGTGACTTTGAAGTTATTTTTTTGAGGAGTGACACACAGCAGTAGAGAAGATCTGGATTCCACTGCACATAATCCAATTTGTGCCGTATTCGAAGTATGGCAGCCCCCCATTAAAGTTCTGCTTTCCAGTTTCACTTACCCACAGTCAGCTGTAGTACAACAATGCCAAGTAGAAAATTCCAGAAATAAGTAATTTACAAGTTTTAGATAACTTTTGTTATAGTATTTTAATTGTTCTACTTTATTATTGCCTATTCTGTTCATCCCTTACTGTTCCTAATTGATAAATTTTTCCTTAGGTGTTTATGTATAGAGTAAAGCATAGCATCTATGGGGCTGAGTCATAGTGGTGGTTCTTGGCATCCACATGATGTCTTAGAATTTATCTCCTAGTGCCAAGGGGGGGATATTGTCTGTACAAATTCCGATGCAGTATAGGTATGACATTACTGATTCCCTGTGCAAAGGTTGAGGAGTCAGAATGTGTATCTAGTTGGAAGTTTATACCTGCTTCTTTGGTGTGTCTATATATTCAGAAAAGCCTAGTACTTATCATGAACTAGGCTCCATGTAGATGTTTTACAAATCTTGACTCATCGAATCCCCACAACAGCCCTTTAAAGTAGGTTCCAAGTAACTCATCCAAGGTCACCCAAATCCCGAGCGGTGGAGCTGTGGCTCCAACCAGCTTGAGTGCTGCTTCTCCTGTAGACATTTCAGCAAGGTATCTCCACAGAACCAATACGAGGTACCATGAGATACAGGCTCATTGTACTCCCCACAGTGGTTACATTCTCAAAATCCAACTGGGCGAATAGCTCGCTGCACAAACCCCTTAATAAGCTTCTTAACCCAAATTTGTCTTTTCTGAAATTTTTCATATATTCTTCTAGCTTTAAGTAGATTCCTTACTTTATTTAATGCACTTGAGTATGACATTTTCGATAGCCTCTATGGGAAGACCTCACACCTCTCTGCAATAAATATCCATGGCTTTCTGAATTTTGGTACTGGAAAATAGTTGTTTTTTAAATTACTGGGCAACACTCAACTTAGAAAAGCAGAATGTGGGCTTCAGTCCAGGTCTGGTTTCACATAACAATTAATCTTTTTTTGGGGGGGGGTACCAGGGATCTAACTTGGGACCTTCCACTTGTGAGGCAGGCGTCAGAACCACTGAGCTAAATCCCCGGCCCTAATTAATCTTAAATATTTAGTATCATAAGACAAAAAAAAAAAATCAAGCTCGCTTTTTTCATGTATCATAACACGTGAAGTTAATATACTTTTAGAAGCCAGGGCTATTCTTTTCTACTCTATTTTTCATAAATCAGAGAAGTCAAATAGGAAACAGTCAGATATTTCATCTTCTATGTAGCTCTATCTCATGGCCATCTAGCTAAGGCTAATCAAATAAAATATGACTAGGCGATGCATTGCATTTATATTGTTTTTTAAACAAACTCCATTATCACCCTCAATTTGTGATTTCCACTCTTTTCATTGCTGTCCTCAGCTCACTTACAGAGCCCCCTATGCCCTGAGGGGTCTGAGAGCAGCCTTCGGCATCCTCCAGCACCCTGAAACATTCACCCTCAGAGGCCTGTACCTCAGGCTGTTGATGCCCTTGTAAAGTCTGGACAAGCAAAAGTTGAGAAAGACTCAAAAATAGATGCTGGAGTGTTATTTTGCTTCCACAAAGAATATTCAGTAACTGAAGATCAGAAAATCCAAAGTGTTGAGCTGTGCTAGAGATAGAGAGGTAGCAATCAAAGAAACTCCAGGGATGAAAGAGATTTTCTCATGATAAAAGAACAACAAAAAAAGAAATACACATGCATATAAACAACATGTAACATTCTTTTATTTCTTAACAAAAGTGAAGAATGGGCTAAGGTGACATACTAGTTCCTTAGGGTGGAAAACTGCTAATAAAGTGACAGTTTTTTCCAGGTGACATACTGCGAAGTCATAGAAGAAACCCACCCCACGGGGCCGACTCTCCAAGTACTGTGTTTGCTCCTAACCTAGCACCCCTTCTCCTCCTAGACTGTTCTCCTACACTGTGCCCACCCAAGGAATAGCAGAGCTAGAGCCCTGTGCTCAGTTAACTGAGTACATGGAGGCTCAGGAGCTGCCTGTAGAGTCACATGGGCTTTGAAGTCTGTAGTTTGAGAAAAGGGAGTTCCATTTTGGCTCCAACCCTTACTAAAGGGGTAAGCTGGGAATGTTACTTGTGGTACATGCTGTTATGTGACCTCCTCCGGAAACGAAGTTCATGTGCTGTTCCTTGGATTCTGGAAATAACCCTTGCAGCTCTCCACCCTCTTCAGGGATTCCCTTTTTGAAGAGACCCTCCAGGGTCATTGTCCCATTTGGGGAAAATGGGCCATCCATCCAATGGGCCATCCATACAAGGATGGGAAGGCCCAGCCCCATGGCCCCCGCTCAGGACCTGGGCTGGGTTGTCCTGTCAGTGCTTTTTGAAAGCTTGGCTGAAGATTTTTTTCAGGACTTCATTGCAGTCCCGCTTCTATGTCCACCTTTCTTCCTTCCATTTCCATTGCTGTTGATTCCAAGAGGACTTCTGCATTTATTCTGACTTTACCTCTGCTGCCCAAGGAACCAACAGGTGTATTATTTAAACTTTGAGCTTTCATGCATGTTAAGGGCTGAGAGTCTGTTTTTATTGACAAGCTTCCAGGTCAGTGTGGTTGGTCAACAGAACACATGTTGAGTCACAAGAATATAAGGAATTAATTTTTTAATATATAAAATATATAGCATAGTATCAAGTATGTATTTATGTATGCATATTAATATTTATTCTCTGTCAAAGTAGTAAAAGATATATATACACATATATATCAAATAGATGAACCACTGAACAGCCAAAATGCGTGGGGCATTTATTGGCAAAACATTCCCTAAGGAAAAGGAAAATAAAGACTTTCACCCTACCCTATCTCCTAGAGTCAGAGTCTGAGCTAAGTGATAGCTGTACATTCTTTATCCAAGGTATGAGCTGATCCCTCCTCTGTCCCTGGCCATCAGTAATAACCCCATCATCCCACTTCTAAATTTTTCTTAGCTTCATCCCTCTTCATCCTCACTTCTGCCACCTTAAGTACTAGATTACTAACGAGCTAAACCACTTCCTTACATTAGTCCCCTGGAGTCAGTCCATGGAAGACTGGCTCCAAGAATACCTCCACATCCCAGGACACTACTGCTTGAGTCCCTTATACGTAATGCTGTAATTTTTGCATATGCCCTAAACATAACCTCCCATATATTTTAAATCACCCCTAAATTATTTATAATGCCGAATACAATGTAAATTCTACGTAAACCGTTGTCCTGCTGTATTGTTTCGGGAATAATGACACAGAACAAAGTTTGTATGTGTTCAATATACATGTTTTTCTCCCAAATACTTTTGATCCAAGGTTGCCTGTCCATGCTGAGGGCCAAGCCCACAGAGTGCCTGGTGGGTCTCCGGGACTCCAGTCACAAAGCCATCTTTCTGAAGGTTTCCTGTAGTTATTTTTCTAACCACAAAGGTGATGGCACCATTCCCCATCTTACAGGCTTCTGAGTAGCTCTCCTCGCCTTAGACAGAGGTCTCGTCTCCCCACATGACATGGGAGGCCCTTTACCAGCGGCTCCTTCTCTCACCCCAACTTCATCAAAATTGCAGTCACTTGGAACTTCTCACTCTTTGTCAAAACCGCCACGCTTTTTCGCACTTCTCTGTGGATGTGTGTGCGTGTTCGCATTTCCACTTCCCTCTTGCTTGACAAGCAGTGTCTGGCAGACCATCTGCAGCCTCCTCCTGCTCGTCCACAGTGTTCCTTACATACACTGTATTCTACATATCATCACATATTATGAATTTTTTTATTCAAATGTTTTCTTCACTACTACACCTCAATACGGAAAAATAAAAAGTCTTCACTATAACAAGTTTGAGCTGCCTGACTCATGCTTGTTTTCAAGTTGATAATCCAGGCACTGATACATAATAGACTCTCAAAAAGGACTGATGAAGGAACAAAACAGTGACTCGGATGAGTAGAATAAAGCCCAAATCACAATTTTAAACCTTCCTTATGTATTTAAATTTCAGTAAAGTGATATGTTTTATTGTAGTAGCAACTGTAGTTAGTTTTCAAGTATATAACACAGGTACTGATACTTAATAGACCGTCAAAAAGGACTGATGAAGGAACAAAACACTGAATCACATGAGTAGAATAAAGTCTAAATCACAATTTGAAACCTTTCTTATGCATTTAAATTTAAATAAAGCAATGTGCTTTATTACAGTAGCACTCTAGTTAGTAAGTTAGTTATTTTATTCCATGTCAACCTGAAGATTATTGTTGTATTTTACCTGTTGCATTGGTATATATTTTTTGACTGCTGTATTGGAGATCATTCACATACTGTACACAACTCAGTGGTTTTTAGCATACTCATGTAGTTGTGCAACCGTCACCACAATGTAACCCTAAAACATCTTCATCAACCCTAAAAAGGACTCTGAATTCATTAGCAGTCATTCCCATGCCCCCTGTAACCCCACTCGACTTTATGGATTTGCCTATTTTGGAAATTCATACAAATAAAACCATGCGATGTGTGATCTTTTGCTACTGGCATTTTACAAGGTTCATCCATTTTGCACAAGTATCAGTACTTCATTCTTATGCCAAATAATGTACCATTATGTGGACAGACCACATTTTGTTCACCCTGGGAATATTCACATCAGCGGTTGCACACTTGTGTTGCTACCACTGCGAGGCTATCATGAATATTGCAGCTGTGACCATTTGTGTAAGGTTTTCTCTGTTTATTTGTTTTTATTCTCAGCCATACAGGTAAGGACTGCTGGGTCAGATGGAAAGTCTATGTTTAACATTTGCAAAAACTTCCAAACTGTTTTCCCAAGTGGAGGCACTGTTTTGCATTGATACATGATGGTTACAGTATTTCTTTGTGCTTTGCAACACTTGTTATGGTTGTGGTTTTTTAAATTAATCTTACAATATTATGGTTTTTACGGCTTTCGAATGTCTTATGAAAGTTTCTTAACTAACCCTGAGTTTATCCAATGTCATCAAGTCTATAGGGAAGTTAAAGATGTTGATATACCTGGATATGTCAAAAAACAGAATAGAAACGGTCGACCTGGGTATTTCTGGATGTGAAGCTCTTGAAGACCTGCTCCTGTCATCCAATATGTTGCAACAGTTGCCTGACTCTATAGGTGAGACTGTAATGTTTTGTCATGAATATTTATGTCAAGTATACCCTCTTCTTCTGGGGTAGTATAGTTTGTTTATAGTTGCAAGTAATATACTCTTTGCCTGATATAAATAAAATAGCACACTCTCTGCAATATCATAAAATAGTACATTACAAATATTTTTAAATGAAATGTTAACGCTAGTTGAATTAGAGAAGGCTCTCACTTTAAAATGATTCTGCTAAATTAATATTTTAAAAATTGTTATGTCTCCTATATTGTAAAATGTTGTTATAATCGTTATGTAACTTAGAACTAGAGTAATTTGAAAATAATATGTTTATCTATGGGATTACAGTAGCTTCTGCCCACAGGATGTTGCTGTATTTTATTTTTAATGTCTTTGTAACATTGTTATAATATAGGAATAACATAAAAACATATAAATATAAAATGTCTTACTGGTTCTATTATTTTTTAAAAGGACATGTTAAGATGCTTGAAAGTGGATAATTTGTAAATATGTAATAAGCACTCCACATTTTTGGTTAGTAAATGTATGCATAAGTAAAATTATAAAATACAAATTTAATACAAATTTTGTATATATATCTTGCTAATACTATTAATGAGTGAACCCAGTTAGAAGGGTGACCATCAAATTACTTAACTTTGGAATATAATTTTAACCTCTTCAAAATAGACCCATCTGGGGCCAGGGATCTAGCTCAGTGGTTCCACTGACTGCCTTGCAATCGCAAGGACCCGAGTTCGATCCCCGGTACCAAAAAAAGCAACAACAAAATCGACCCCATCATATGTATTGGAACTTAAAGCTTCTGAAAATTAAGTCGCAGCCTAGGGAAACTGGGAGGAGGGAAACTTGAAGGTAAGGCAGTTTCCCAAATTTTTCTTCAGCATTTTATTACCACTTCCATTTTTGCCATTCTTTGAGACCTACAGAGAACATTAGTTTTAGCAAAAATCATAGTTTATCTTTTCTTTCTTTCTATTTTAGCAGACTTTTTGACTTATATAATCACATATTTGAAAACTGTGTTTGTCCAACTTGTTCAATTAGAGGACTTGACTGAGAGCTTTATTCAACATTTATTCTTACTTCCAGGCTCTGGCTCTAAAAATTCTGACTCAGTAAGTCTGCAGTGAGCCCTTTTATCTGTGTTTTTATTCAATGTCCTCAATGAAATTTGCATGCAGACAAGTTTGGGAAATACAGGTTTGTGTTGTTGCAAGAGGTGCAGTGATTGGAAAGATCATTCTCTCGCCAGGATGACGGAGTGACTAAGCTCATAACCTCACTCCCCACTCCACCTCCAATCCATGCCACTTCTGCTAGAGAGGAAACTGCACGTATCCAGAGTACATAGTTTTATTAACTGATGTCACCTAACTGCCAAGAACCACTGTCGTGGACTTGGTGGGAGAGGGAGAAAGAGATGAACAGAAACACTCATATAAAAGGAGAATGAAAAATAAAAATTTTAAATTATAGAAATGAAAAAATATGACTAAATCATTTTCCTTAGATCCCAACAAATATAATAAATACAATGAACTAAATTTATTTTGTTTAAAAGAATCAGTATGCCTCACAAGCGCAAGGGCCCGGGTTCGATCCCCAGTACCAAAATAATAATAATAAAAAAAATTAAAAATAAAAGAATCAGTATTTCAGGTGGGATATTAAAGTTCAGCTATATTCTGGTTGTGAGGCACACACAAAACAAAGCGCAGAAAATCTGATCTTTAGAAGACTGGCAGAAAGTGGAGCGTTTTTACCATGACAAAATTATTTGCTTAAAACATCTTCCTTTAACAAAGCAGACTAAAAAATTAACCTTGTGGTCTGAGAAAGGCAGCATGGGAAGGACTGCAGAATATCGGGCAGGATTCCTGGCTGCCACAAAACAGATAAGAACAGGCGAGTGGTGCCATATACCTGACACCTTTGTTACGGAACAGCTCGTGGATGGAGAAAGTCACTCTGCTATAGAAGCTTATTTCAACTTACTTTCCACCTTGTGCTTTCAGGGGAGTTGTATTGGCCACCTGCAGCATTGCCACAGCACAGGATTACAGATACAGAGTAGCTGGCTTTCCTCAGAGAACTGAGCGAAACGTCTGCAATAGGCCACTGAGAGCTCAGTTCCGTGGCCCTGGGATGATTCACTGATTCTCAAAGGATGGCAGGTTGCATCTTGTCTTGCTTATTTGAGCTCAGATTATCTATTGACCCCCAACATTTAAAAGATAAGAACAGCATGAATACTGCTGGACAGTGTGAATGAAAGGAAGTAGCAACTGAAATGAGATCTTCGCTTCCATCAGAGCTGTTCCAGTCCTCTGCAGTTGGGGTATTTGAATGGGGCAGCAGACTCTACAACAAGCTCTACGTGCTTACAGGCTTTGCTTCAGCTGGCTGCAGGGGAAAATGAAAAACTGTCTTTTCTCCTTCTAGGTAGTTTTAATAATCAGCTTCTTTGGATAACAGAGAAGCTCAGTACAAGACAACATGACTTTACCTTTCAGAATAACTCATCTTCATCACTGAGTGACTAAGGGCACACAGATTACCTGAGTTTTTCTATATTATTAGTCGTCTGACCTTAGACAACTTACTTAACTTCTTCCTGTCTTAGTTTCATCATCTGTTAAGTGGAGGTAGTAATAGTACCTACATCATAGTATATTACTTTCAGGAATGAATTAATTCATCTATGTAAGATTGCTTAAAACACTCCCTGCCTAAATACTGTTAGTTCAGTAACATAACAGTTATCATAATCTTAGATCTAATGAGAGCACATCTGTTTGCTTCAAAGTTCTATTGATATGTGTAAATGCCACTGAAATATTAGCTACTTTGGTAACAATATGTTAATGTTTAATGCATCAAAGCTAATTATGTATTTGTATAAAAATAGCTAAATCACAGTAATATACCTCCTTTTGTTCTTTAGTACTTCTTAGTTGGGAGCTTAGGATAAATGGGTAAAAAATTGGGGAAGTAGAGAGGAGGAAAAGGGTGAGATCCTTTTGATTCTTGCAGAGGAGAGGATCCAGGCACATGTGATGCCGCAGTGCACTAAAGGGATGGCCTGCCAGAGGAAAGCATGAGCAGTGTGGGTGACACTGAGGTCTTCTCCTACAATCAGATTCCAACTGAAACCCCAGAACCTTTCCACCCCTCGGATGACCTACCAGTGACAAATCTGTCACTTCCTGAGCTTCCCATAACTCCACAGGCAAGAAGTGAGGCAGGGTGGCCCAACTTGCTTCAACCTTTATACCTTCTGGGGAGAGCCACTGCCCCAATCTTCAGAAATATCTGTTGCCTTAGTCCCTCACCTGCCTCAAAATTTTATCAAGGAGAGGCAGGAACTGTGAGACCTTCCTACAGACTTCATGGTGCCCTGGCTTCCTGGTGTCTGCCCAGCCACCTGTAACCCAGCCTGTATCCTCCTGGGACCCAATCAAGTGATGCAAAGATGGTCAACCTCTTCCAGACCCACTGGTGTGCAGCAGCTGTGGTCTCTCTGGTCAGGGCTACCAGATCGTAACATGTGGCTGTCATTCAGCATCCCTGTTTTCTTTCCACAACTGATAAACAAGCTCAGATGTTCTTTTCTATTTCCAAAGTGGATATTGAAGCATACACACCGAGCCGAAATGATTCAGGCACACTTTGAATGTAGATGAATGCAGCAGTGAATGTTCAGACTTCAGGGATGAATTGCCACCACAGGAATTGTCCTCATCCCCAGGTGCTGTGGTTTTCAGCTGATGTATTGAGCTCCGAATGTTGAGGCCTTTTTTCACAGCAGTCTGATAGGGACAACATTTCTCTCCACTGGAGTGAGGATCCTGAAAGCTTCTGAAGAAGATGTAAATGAGTATACTGAAACATGAAGCACAACAACAGCTTTATGGCAGAGATTTTGTGGCTTAATCTTACCTTGAAAGTATTCTCAAAATGGTCGATATGGGGAGGGCATGACCTCAAAGCACATTCCTCGTAGCACCAACTTTTAAAGATACTCTGCAGATACACACACACACACACACACACACACACACACTCACAATAACTTTGGAGAGTCACAGTGTTCCGTCAGTACATTAAAAGGTTCTAGAGAAACCATTAAAGAAAGCTGTACAATTTTGTTTGATTTGACACTTCTCAAAGCATATTTGACCATGGAATTTAATATATTTTCCAAAAAATATATATCTTTTTCAAGACCCAGTAATCTATAGCATGTAAGTGTAGTTCCAATATAAAACAAAACCTAACCTAATGTTAATGCTCTACCCTTGGACTTTGGCTGCTTAGCCATATTGATCTTATAGGTTGTATTTGGCAGGATGAGGAGTTGGTTATGCCAAATGCAACTGCTCTTCAATTACTGTGTGGCTATTGCTCATTTAGACCCTGGCAAGAGAGAAAACCATAAAAGTATCGACGGCATAAATCAGATAGTAAAAGATAAATAGTTGTAACTTCAATTCTTGGCAGGGTCTCCTTGCTATATTAAAAATTGCAAGTTTCTTTGTGTTATGCTGATCCAAGTTAAAGATTTATGTTACCAAAGAGCATGAGGTCATATGTTGTAATTTTCCAAGTCCATAATTACAAACACCACATTGCAGTGCCTTAGTATTCATTCCTTGGTTATTAGGCTTAATTCAGATTTGTTTTCAATCTGTGTCACAATGGGAATGCTAGCTATTAGTGCTTAGGTGTCAATTAAATATGAAATCACAGCTGGTTTGAAAATTTTCACCTGGCCCCCTTGCTGAAAAATAGAAAAGGGAAGTGAAGTTGCATTTGTGTTAACATGGTATGTATGGAGCCCTTGGTTTTTGTTTACTTGTCTACTTTGATGTTCTTGAACTCCCACTGATGTAAGTGAATTTTTTACAAGAAAGTCAAAACCAGACTACACACAAATACTGTATCGGCTTATGGGCTTATAGAAGCAGAAGGCAACGAATCAGCATGGCAAGCATTCATCACAAGAGATTCCTCTGATTTCCTTTATATGACAGTCCCTGTCATAAACCTGCTCCAGTATATTAATAAGCCTTCTTCTCTGTTTTAGGACTGTTGAAAAAACTGACTACTCTAAAAGTAGATGACAATCAACTTACAATTCTACCAAATACAATCGGAAAGTAAGTACCAGAGTCTCCTTTAAGTCAGCCTGTTAAATCCAGAAATGAAAGAATACATTGTTCTCTACTTCAGAACACTTTGTACTATACTTTCTACTGTTTGTTCATAGGTCAGCTTATTTTAGACTGTATTTTATTCAGTTATATGCATTTGTAGATAATAGATCTTAATTTGATTATATATCTGAATATTGCATTGGCATCTAACTATACAAAATTATGAGAAATATCCAACCATACATCTTTCACTGGTAAAACAACTATGTAGACCCTCAATTATATCCTTGCTGGTATTTTCTATCTAGTACTGATATTTTGATGGAGTGGTAGTTCTAAATTCACCCAAATATATCTTGAAAAAATTAAATCAATTTTTCTAAGGCTCTTCAGTATGTATTTTACCATTATACTAATAATATTTGATATATGTATACAGAAGCTTAGTGTATTTTTAGAATCTAAAAGAGAAAAGCATTTTCTTAGCCAATATTTTCAAGGTAAAAGTCTAACATTGCCTTTTATGGGTGAACATGCTCCATTTATTGATAGCAATTTATTTTTGGCTCAATATTGCTATTAACATTTGGTTCACAATTCTCTTATGTATTTTTTCTCAATGTTTCACTGAAATGCTATTTTGTTTACAATTCATGTGACGTGACAGATCAGTACAAGCTGGCTGCATCCTGAAATTACGTGAGTCCATTTGATCAGGATCTTGGCCCTCATCTCAGTATGAAGAATTATCTAAATATTTACCTGATTTGGGTATGCTTGGGAAGAGAAAGCCTCATTTTTTTTATAAAACAGCTTTATTGGGTATAATTGACAGGAAAAAAAACTGCACATAGTTAAAGTCTTAAATTTGACAGATTTTGGCAGAGTATAAAGAGTTGGAACAATTACCGCTGAAATCCAGATGGTGGACGCGTCCCTTACAGCCCTTCTCCTGTGTCCTTTGCCACATCAGCAAATGGCTTTGTATCTGGGAAGCTTCACTTCTAAAGAGCAGGGCAATTTTGCAAAAGTCAAATTAAAATATTCAGACTCTGGAGAGTAAATAAAGTCTCAGTCATTTTCGTACTGCAGTACCCTCACCATACATTATTATTTTGTCTACAGTTTCTTCCACATTTTTCCAGTGTAGCATACAGAGAATGTTACTTCCTTTTTGGATACACAGAAGAAGTAACTGTTCTCATCAATGTGATACTTGTTTTAAAAACCTTCCCAATTGTATTCATACGCACTCACAGTTGGGTCAATTCTCATGGGCAACTGAATTCAACTTCATTTATGTCCACATAGATGATGACTGGTGAGCTGCAACCTACATTTGTATTTCTTGTATAATTAGCTCCTTGAAGGTGAAATGAAGAGAGTGGATAACCTAAAAGTAGGCCAAGGTGCTTTGTCCATAGGCAGTACAAGCCTGACTTCGGCCATCCTGAGAATGAGCCTTTGCCCGTGCACTGTGATTTCCGGCCAGATTGTCGGTCTCTGAATGACCTCCCTGGTGCAAACTCAGCCTTTTCTGGAGTCAGGGCTGACACTGGAGACAGCTGTGCCCGGAGCTCCTGTCACACGACAGTATGAGTTCCTGCCTCCCCTTCGCCAGCTGCACCTCATGCCAGAACTCATTTCAGGAACAGGAAGATGACAGAGTAACTCTGTCTCCTTCCCCGCAGCCAGGCGGAGTGTGGCAGCCGGGCTGTGCACACACATTCTCAACTCGAGTCAAGCTCAGTTCTCATTTACCACCAGTGTCTAGTTCTGTCCCTTACAGTCTTCCTGGTAATTGAATTATAAATGTGGAGAAAGATGAACTTACCCTGTAGTGACTTGATCTAAGCTTCTATACTCCTGTGTTGAAAAGGAAGAGACGGGGAAACATCAGGTGGCTGTCAGCAGCTTTCAGTTACTCAGAACAAAAGACCTGTCCCAGAAAAGCAGGGTAAATAACTAGGAATTAGAGCACCTGTGAACACTGAGAAGACTGAATAGTGAGCCTTCGTTTTGAAAGCCACTTATTCTTATTAAATTGTCAGATACCAAAAAGCCAGAAGAAATACTTACGTGATATGAAAGAAGCAATATTTAAAAGAGCTGGGCAGGGGAGGTGCTTCCTTGGCAAGTCCAAGGGGACTTGGGGAGACTCGTGGAGGAATGGGAGAAATCAGTGCTTCGCTGGACTGAAATCATTACTAACCAGCATCATGATGGAACTGTCCAGAAAGCTGCGGAAGCAGTTCTGCAGAGATGAAAAGATCCACTCAAAGGCAATGAGGGAAAATAGTTCCCGGTGTTTCCTGGTACTTGCGTGACAGTTCCAGGCATCGCCTGTTGTGGGATTGACCAGAGAGTAATTTACTGTGAAACATATAAACAGACTCCGCCCCCTGGTGACCGTGAAGTGCTTTGATCGCATGGACCACTCATTAAACTCACTGCTGTCCTCCTTCCCCAGGCTTCGGCCACACATAATGTCCTTCAGCATCTGCACCCTGCTTCTGGGTTTTCCCACTTCTTGTTACTTCAACCTGAAATAGTCTTTCCTGACTTTTTATAAGGCTGCTTGCTTCACATCTTCTAGGTCCATGCTCTTAAGCTTCAATGTGCATTTAAATTACTAGGGAATCCTTTCTGCAAAGCAGATTCTGACCCAGGAGGTCTGAACCCCTGGGGGTTCCAAGCTTTGCATTTATCACAAACATCTAAGTGTTGTCAGTGTTGCCGGTGCAAGGACAACACTTTGGGTAACAAGGTTCTAGTTATGGCTTTAAATATCACCTCCACAGTGCAGCTTTCCCTCAATGCCCCTCCACCAATATGTCCACCCACAGATTCTCTCTGTATCTGTGTCCCTTTTCCTTCCCTCGTGGCACTTTTCAGAATCTGTACTTGCTTATTTTATTGTTCCTCATACTGTCTTATTCTGTCTTGTAAATGCAAACACCACACCTCCGTTAGAATAGTTTTCCTGTCTCAGCTCCAGAATTGTAGAAGGTTTCTAAAGATGATGAATGCTAGACCCTACTTTACTTTGGGTTTCAATTCCTAGATTGTTTTGTGCTAACCAGAATTTTTTGGTAAGAAGATGAGAAAAATCAAACGCTAATGATGTTTACAGTGATATGTCTTCTTATTTAGAACTCTTGTGCTTCTATACTTCACTAAATGCTTTTGTTCAGAAAAGAAAAATGGAGTAATTACTCGTGAGTATGGATGCTAGGTTATTCATATACTTGGTTTTCCTTTCATAAAGATTGATTATTCTCTTAAAAGTATGAAGATTTATCAAAGATAAATGAGACTACTTAATTCAAAGGTTGATTACTGTTTTAGAAAAAGGTTAAAAATCATAAAAGTTCACTTTTTAGAGATTTTTAATGTCATGATCTTCTTTTGATTATTGTTTTGGGGAAAAATAAGGGGCATGTCAGAAAAATGGGCTAATAGAATGTTTTTAAGTGCTGGATATATCAACATCAAAATGTTAATCTTCTCACTAAATGTTCTTGCTTAGGAAAATATGGTTATTTTGCATAAAAAATATGTTGCTTTTATTAACATGCCATGGGCTTATAGGAACAATTATTAAGTATTTTTAAATACTTAATATTTAAAGTGTTTAAATTCTTTAAATATTTAAATGCTATTTTAATGTGTAATATGGTAGATACCAATAAATATAACCTACATAAACCAAAGTTGTTCGGGGCCATTGGGGATTTTTAAGAGTATGACAGGATCCTCGGACTGATAAGATTGAGGATTATTTCTATACATGTCAGAGTTTGGAAATCATCAAATTTAGTAAAATTATAATAACTATTGTCTAACTTACATTCTGACTCCAAGGTAGTCATCTATACACAGTGTTTTGAATTTATACATATGATACCCAAAGGCACTACATTGCTAAAGGTTTCTTATGCACTTTAAAAACAATTTATACTTGAAAAAAACAAGCAATAACACAATGATTTTTTATGTTAGAGAGTTCAGATTTCTAGATTAGAGCTAGAATGAAATTTGATTACAATCTGGTTAACTGGCATATGCAGAAAGTATTTTGTTATTGGTCAGATAATCTATATTTTATTACAAAGCATTCTACCTAAAATTCTAAACTTTGAAATCCTAGAAATGTTAAGACCAGCTGCAATGACCAGGACTTTTTATTCTGCACATGGAATATTTAAATATTTAGATTTATATTTGGTATTTTGTAATAGTACAACTATTAAAAACTACCAGAAGAATTTATTTTTCAGTATCTTCACAGTTGAAATAGATTCCATGATTTCTGTGCCAAATGACTTGTAAAATTATTTTTGTTGTTGATCCTTAAAATATGCCTAGACAGCACCAAGAATTGAAAGTCAAAGGAAAATAATAATAAACAACATTTTGTACCACAGTATTCTGGACACCAAGTTTGGTGATTTGTAGACATTATCTTTAGTTAAAGGCCCCATTAACACTATTTGATATGTATTCTCCTCCCATCAACAGATATGGCCCACTAAGGCTGAAGGAAGCTACCCTACTTCATTGCCAAGCTGTTAATTCCACTGTATCTCATATATCAGTGTATGTGAGAGCTGAGTCATGCATTTTGTGATTGACTCTTCATACCTGGTAATTTAACGGGCCTCATTGCTCTAGCCAGAAAGGATTTTTCACAAGAGAAATCTCATGCTGGGCTTGCTCTTTCTTAGCTTTATGGTCTTTGATAAAAGTAATAAAAACTCAGAATTTTGAATAGGCATCCTAAAGAGTCATTCTTTCGTAAAGTTGGCCAAGCAGAGAGGAGTAGGAATCGGGAAATGTGAGGGCTGCACAAAGCAAGGCCAGTCCTTCTCACGAGCTTCCTCTGTAGGGTCTGAGATGTGAAGTGAATTAGATCGTTGGCAGCCACGACACTAAAACAAGTTTCATAGGCAAATAAACAGAGCTATTTGGGGACTCTGTATTCACATTAGAGCAAACTATGG